CACTTGAAAAAGTTGAAAGTAGTTCCAGTATGAGAATATTTAACTTTTAAAATAATTCTATTCAATTTAAAATAAAATTTTGACTCGAATTTGCAAAAAATAGAATATAGGGTGAATCCATGAGAAAAATATCACCTTTCTGGAAAAGTTTTGTTTTGGGTACTGTTTTTGGGTTCAATAGATAGCACCAAAGTAGAAAACATATCCGGCCGAAAAAAGCTAGGAACATGTTTCTAGAATCCTCGAGATTTTGTCACATATTCCGGTACATGTCTGGCGAGTGACTCGTATGAAGATAATTCAACCAGTTCTTCTATGTATCATTCTAGAATTATTAATATCGTGTTTTCTAACTGAAATACATGTAAAATGAGTTCATCTGCATTCATTTGCGTCTTCCGGAAGGCTCGAAATTAACCTTTGATAGTCAAAAAATATTATAAATTCCACTGAATAACTATTGTTTCTATAAAGAACAATAAATTTGATGTAAATTTTTTCCGGACAAAGATGTTTTCTACTTCGGTACTATCTATTGAACCCAAAAAAAGTACAAAAAAACCCTTTTTCAAATTATGATATTTTTCCAATGGATTCATCCTATAACAATGAAAATCAGCTTAAACTGTCTTGTATCTATACTTTATAGGTAAAAATAATTTTTAATTTTGATCTCACATAGTAAAACAGAGAATTTTGACTACTTTTCGTAAGTTTGATGATCAATTCTCATCATCTTGTACTTCTGATTTATTCTTGCACTCTAAATAAAAAGCGTTTCCAAAACAACTCTTTTTCGCTGAACACTTTCTAGACAGATCACGTGTAAAATAGACAGTAGAAAAGTAATTTATAATAGAATACTTTTGAAAAAAGATTACTTTTTGCAGCGTCGAGCTGAAGTGCTAAAAGTAATCCAAAAAAGAACTTTTTGAAAGTATTTCTCAGTGTAGCAATTTGATACCGCTCTATAAAAAGGAAAAGAGCGTGGGAAAAACAGGAACCGTTCTTTTCAACTACATATTTTTCTTTTACAGTGTACTTTTCATGATTTTTCTATACTAATAACTACAAATAAAGTCTCTATTATCTTTTGTTTAAATACAGTATTAATTAATATTTAGACTGTTAATTTTATATCAAGAATTAAGGTTCATTTGGTGAACTTCATTATCTCTCTATTTCGGTATTTCAGCGAGCATGAAAAGTTATAAACAATTATTGCTCGAGTGAACGAAGAAAATAAAAACCGATTAAACACACAGCTGAGTTTAATACTTATTCACGATAGACGTGTGACTTTTGAGTGAACATAAACGCCCTTTCCTTCCCAAAGGACAAATGAAAGACGACAAAAATCACACACGCACACAGTTGAACTATAAAAGTGGAACAATGAACAAAAAATTATGCGCGACGACGAGAATTTTTTTTTTTTTTTATGATTTAACTTGGCACGGAAGTCGACAAGAAAAATTGTTGATTTCGTGATAGACATTTTAATATAGAAAAAAGAAAAAACCTATTTAGGTTAAAATATTCAATTTATTGTCACCTCCACATCGCGTATAATCGGTAGGTTATTGACATGCCACGGATATATTGCATGATTAACAAAATCGGCTATTGTTACATGATTATAATCTACAGTTATAGTTGAAGATAATGTTCTATTCTACTCTTGCTCATTGAAGAAAATAGAGAACAATTGATTATTGAACGTGATTTTGATGAAAATTTGAGATATTAGACACCAGAAACAAATTGTTTAATAATTCAGAACAACGAATACATTTGGGACATTAGATAAAGAAGATTATAGGGAAAAAGAAATAGTTCTCTAGAGTAGAGCAACAAAAAATGTTTGATAAAATAATAAAAAGAATCGATCGAAGGTTAGTGGTACTAGAAAACTGTTTAAAAAGAAGAAATTTTAATAAAATCTAATTATATGATTCTAAATTGTGAATAATGGATTATATTTTTGAGTTTTGTGCAATACTAGTGTGAAAAAATTTGACATTGAGTTTTGTATCTATTAGTATACCTGAAAACAAATTAATTTTATATTGAAAAATTCTATTCATATATCTATTATTGTCAATAATTTCTTCTTCGTCTATAGTATTATGATCGAAAAAGATTCAAGGAATAAATTATTTTATGTTTTTCTCATATAAAATTGATAATTAAAAACATATCCATAAAATATTTATTTGATCACCTTCGATTAATCTAAATGTATTGTATTGTTGTTCAATAATTTCGAATAAAAACATCAACACTTCTCAGCAAAAAAAACAAAGAATTCCAATTATATTTCATGTACTAACTAGAAATAATGTATCTATCTCTATCTCTTATAAACAATGTGGTTGTTATTCTAATTAAATATAGAAGTGATAGTAAAAATATAAATAAACTCGTGTATCCAAATTGAAGAAAGAGAAAAGCATCTGTTGTTTAAGCTTATATTGTTTGCATATTAAACATACCATCTTTTATAATGGTAACATTTTCATAATTATGAATAAAAATAATCGTAAACTAGAAACTATTTCTTACTAATGCATCTCAAAAAAACAACAAACTAATGTAAAGAGTAGAAATGTAGACAATTTTTGATTGTTAACCTACATACCTTTATCTGTCAAACGTTGTTCATTTCCATGATTGATATCATTTTGTTCATGTTGTATATTATTATCTGAATTTGATTGTGAATCAGACGATAAAGAATGATCAATATAATTTTGATGCGTTTTATCAATCGTTGTTATTGTCGTTCGATCTTGTTTTTTATTTCGTTGTGATGACACAGTATTACAACCATTTTCTGCTATTGTAGTCATTAAAATTGTTAAATTTGAATTTGATTGTCCACCACCAGTTTTACTGCCAATTATATTATAATGCGGTGATGATGGCGACAACGTATTCATTCCATGTCGACAATGACAAGGACATAATGAAGTAATTAACGTCGCGCAATCATTATTATTATTATGATGATGATAGTTTCGACAGTTTTTACTTGCTGTTGATAATGTTGATGTACACGATGAACAAGGGGACGACACGTGAACACCTGTAATAAATTGAAAAACACATGTAAATTTTTTTTTTTCTTCTATTGATTTTTTTTTCTTTCTTTCGAACAAAAAAGCGAAAAAGCGAAAGAGAAAGAGAGAGATACACAGACGAGTATAATAATGTTGATTATTGTGCTGATCTTGATATATTTAGAAATACAAATACAATCGCTAGTTGATCTCTTTCTCTCTCTCTCTCTCTTTTTAATAACTAGTCATTTTTCTTTTCATTTAGAATACCGTGCGCGTGTATAATTGTTGATCTCATTTCTTGTTTTGATCTTGACTCATCTGGATAACGTTTAACTTAGGGCATGTTAAGAGATATAAAAGAACTATCTTAGTGAACTAGTTGGTATTGTCAAATTTGAGTCGTTTAAGTCAGAGTGCTATGCTAACCACAATATAAGGAGACTATAAAATGTCTTATAAGAAACAGTCCACTATTATTACTTTTCTGAATGCTTTTTGTCATCTTTATTAAATTAAGATCAATTAAAAATAAATATTTCATGCTTACGTGAATTCATCTCAATATGAGAATAAGAATAAAACTGTGCTATTCATCCGTAAAAACATACAGAAAAAGAAGAAGCACATGGTACTATGATGGCCTCGAATGGTACCATTTGGTTTACAAGGCATATGATTGTCACTAATTTCAATAGGAAAAATAAAATGTGTATATGGTTTGTTTGTTTTTTTCGTTGTTTAGCACAAGAGAGAAACAATATTGATCATATAACTATTTCTCTATTGAACAACGTGGTTATTGTTCTCTATATGATCAGATGTTGATCAATAAACTTTGCATTGATAAATCAAACCCTAGAGCATTAGAATAAAACCTTACATAATTTTTTTTTCTTCTACTACTTGATAATTTGTAATATGAACAACTCAACAAAAACAAATTTATAATGTTTCTGTTCGTTTATATTTTCGAGCTTTCTCTCGCTCCTCTCTCTGTTAAATTATATTGTATTTCATTCTCATTCCGCTAAACATTGACACGTTAATCGAGCATGTCCATCATACAGTCTTTTAGTTAATCGTTTATACTGTCTCAATTGGCAAAATTATATAATCATTTCCATTTATTGTTAAAAAAGAAAAAGAAAAAGTGGAACAACTTTATGTTAGTTGTCTTTATTATGAAGTGTATATGTGTAAAGGCAAGGTCAAAATAACCAAATTTGACTCTTTCCTGTTCTTTTATTTTCCAATATTTTATTGTAAAACGATTGACTAAACAAGGACGGATTTTCTCCTTTTTTTTTTCTTCTTCCTCAAAGAACAATACGGAAAAATGAACAGATGATGCGTGCTAAATACAAAAAAAACCCTATACTGTTTGCATTGTTCAACAAACAAAAAAATTTTTGTGTCATGTTGTCAGTAGTAGTTCTAATTCAAAAGAAATTTTTCTTATAGTTATTGACAAATACTAACCAAAAATAATGAGCTTTTCTCAATAAGTTATCAAAATCATATATACTTTTAAAAATGTCTAAATTCGTGCCTACTGTAGCATTCCTGATAACCTAAAGAAAAAAATCAATAGAAGAAAAAAAAAAATTTACATGTGTTTTTCAATTTATTACAGGTGTTCACGTGTCGTCCCCTTGTTCATCGTGTACATCAACATTATCAACAGCA